TCATTATGTACTTTACAGTGTAGTTATGAATAATCTATGTCATTATGTACCTTACAGTGTGGTTATGAATAATCTATGTCATTATGTACCTTAGAATATGGTTATGAATAATCTATGTCATTATGTACCTTACAGTGTAGTTATGAATAATCTATGTCATTATGTACCTTACAGTGTAGTTATGAATAATCTATGTCATTTCTTCAATTTTTAGTCCTCTTCCCTGTGGAGGACTAACTACATATTATAAGTTTTTACAAAGGGTTGAGTACATTATATTAAAGCGGTTTTGCCCCTAGTCCACGTCACGAGTTCTGGACATGCTTTAGCTGATGATTATGTATCTTGATAACAGCTTTGCAACATAGTTTCCACAGCAAAAGGCTCTGTTATAAGGCTGTCATGTTCAAAGTGCACCATTTTTCTCTTCATGCTTTCCATATCCCATCTAGTGTACTTGGATGATGGTTTCCTGTTTCAATAGTCCAGTTACATAGGTAGCCATAGGTGCTGCATCTGGTGACTTGACCATTATGTCATCTTATGGAATAGCATGAACACTCATTTCATTCTCTATCTCCTTGAAGTATGCAACAATTTTACTGGAAGTCTTATCTTGGTGAACACATATTCTTTTGGCCTCATTTGCGAATGGAGGTTCTTCTTGATTATGTTGCCTACAGTCCCTTGGAACACGTGGATGGCTTTTGCCACTGACTTCTGTGTTTATGGATTTCCACTTTTTACCTTGAGTTGATCATATTCCTTTGTTTCGCAGTACTGTTAAGCACAAGGGATTTACCTATTTTTTAAATTATAAATTCTTGATTTTTATGATCTTGGTGTTTGAATAGTTTTTGTAAGAAGGGGCTATTACAAAATAATTTTAATATAACATACTGAACTCTATATATATGTACCATATGTTGTTCACTACCAATACCAAATTGTAATGAAGATATGAAACCCTATAACTCAAGTACTTTTGAAAAGTGGTCCTTTCTTAATATTATGTTATTAACAGTTGAAAAAGTTTCTCTATACTCCTGTCAAGATTGATAAATCTTTGAGATGACATCTGCTTTATATTTTTTTTGTAGAACATGTATTGTGTTTTAAACAGCTTCCTCAGTTCCAAATGAAGAAGGAATTGACGAAGACCTTATATGGGCCCAACTACTTAGTTCTCGCTCTGCAGGGTATGTTGCACTCTTACATTGTCAATTTATAAGTTTGTTGTAACTAGAAATTCAGATTAATTTAATTTTTACTGAAACAGTATATGAGCAGGAAAGTTAATTGAAACATGCTCTTTAAATATCAGATTGGAGTAAATATACAACTTCAGTCATGAAGTGTTCTACACTTTATAACCTTTCACTACTGAAGTTGTATATTTACAGAACCTTTCATGACTGATGTATGTTTAATATAAAGTATAGAACATTTCATGACTGAAGTTGTATATTTACTGTAAAGTATAGAACATTTCATGACTGAAGTTGTATGTTTACTATAAAGTATAGAACATTTCATGACTGAAGTTGTATATTTACTGTAAAGTATAGAACATTTCATGACTGAAGTTGTATATTTACTGTAAAGTATAGAACACTTCATGACTGAAGTTGTATATTTACTGTCAAGTATAGAACATTTCATGACTGAATTTGTATGTTTACTCTGAAGTTGTATATTTACAGTAGTGGAAGGTTCTGTACTTTATATTAAACATACAACATCAGTCATGAAAGGTTCTGTAAATATACAACTTCAGTAGTGAAAGGTTCTGTACTTTATATTAAACATACAACATCAGTCATGAAAGGTTCTGTAAATATACAACTTCAGTAGTGAAAGGTTCTGTACTCTATATTAAACATACAACTTCAGTAGTGAAAGGTTCTGTACTTTATATTAAACATACAACATTAGTGAAGGAACATCCTGTATATTTTCTCATTCAGTTTTAGTTATATATCTAACAGTTAAACATGTACTGTTTTAATTAGCTAAGTATGTAAAATTGATTCAATTTTAAGAACTAAGTTTGTTTTTTTAATCTAGTTGTTTAGTGTTAGTTGAGATTTAATAATAAAGACTATATTATGAGGATTAAGTTATTTTACAAGTTTGAACATTCAGCTTAAATTAATCCTAAAAGATGTGCTAAAAAAGAAATTATTTTCAAATTGTGATGTACATTTTTTTATGCTTAAGATTAAACATCCTTCGTGTATGTTATTTAAGAAGGTGTCCAATGAAAAGTAAATTTAAACTTATGTGAATACATAACTAGCTTTCTGTGTAGGTTTTTAATGGGGGCATCTTGTGGGGGAGGTAACATGCAGGTGAATGATGAAGACTATCATAATGTTGGGTTACGACCTCGACATGCCTACTCAGTTCTTGATGTTCAAGACTTGCATGGATTGAGGTAAGAAGAATCAAGTTAGGGATTATGAATTCTTTATTACAAACACAATTTTATGTGTTTTATGAATTGAAACAATTAATAATAACATATCAGACGTTAATTTTGAGTTAGTTGTCAGCAGATCAGTTGTGTTTTGGTTCAGCGATGCTGTTGTATAAACTTAAGTTACATTGTAACATTTTTACTTTTGTTTATCTACCACTCATCTTGCTTGTCAAAGTAAATAGTACATTAATATTTTTTCTAAACCTAAGTTTATTGTGTAAAAGATCTCGGAGCTGCTCTGCAGGGTCCTTTTATTTTATAAGTCATGGTTTTGGCTTTTCCTGTTCACTCTAACTGTGTTGCAATATTCTCCTTAGACTAGTCAGACTTAGGAATCCTTGGGGACACTATTCTTGGAGAGGTGATTGGTCGGATGAATGCTCATTATGGACAGCCGAGCTTCGAGAAATGTTGATGCCCCATGGTGCTGATGAAGGACTCTTCTGGATGTCATTCTCCGATATGTTGAGGTAAGCCTAAAATTTGTACAAGTTTGAATTAATAATTATTAAAACACATTAGCAACTAGTACATTTGTACAAGTTTGAATTAATAATTATTAAAACACATTAGAAACTAGTACATTTGTACAAGTTTGAATTAATAATTACGGGTGGCTTGTATGATAAATTGTAGTGATCTATAAGATACACAAGTGGTTTTTATGATAAATTGTAGTGATCTATAAGATACACAAGTGGTTTGTATGATAAATTGTAGTGATCTATAAGATACACAAGTGGTTTCTATGATAAATTGTAGTGATCTGTAAGATACACAAGTGGTTTGTATGATAAATTTCTTGAACTAGTGACTAAACTACCTAACTGCTCATTTACAAATTTAATTTTATTGATAATGGTTGAATCATGTTAATGAGAAAGAGTTCGTAAAATAACTAAAGTTTGTGGATAATGGTTGAATCATGTAAATGAGAAAGAGTTCGTATAATAACTAAAGTTTGTGGATAGTGGTTGAACCATGTAAATGAGAAAGAGTTTGTATAATAACTAAAGTTTGTGGATAATGGTTGAACCATGTAAATGAGAAAGAGTTCGTATAATAACTAAAGTATGTGGATAATGGTTGAATCATGTAAATGAGAAAGAGTTTGTATAATAACTAAAGTATGTGGATAATGGTTGAATCATGTAAATGAGAAAGAGTTTGTATAATAACTAAAGTTTGTGGATAATGGTTGAACCACGTAAATTATAAATAGTTCGTATAATAACTAAAGTTTGTGGATAGTGGTTGAACCATGTAAATGAGAAAGAGTTCGTATAATAACTAAAGTTTGTGGATAGTGGTTGAACCATGTAAATGAGAAAGAGTTCGTATAATAACTAAAGTTTATGGATAATGGTTGAACCATGTAAATGAGAAAGAGTTCGTATAATAACTAAAGTTTGTGGATAATGGTTGAACCATGTAAATGAGAAATAGTTCATATAATAACTAAAGTTTGTGGATAATGGTTGAACTATGTAAATGAGAAATAGTTTGTATAATAACTAAAGTTTGTGGATAATGGTTGAATCATGTAAATGAGAAAGAGTTTGTATAATAACTAAAGTTTGTGGATAATGGGTGAACCATGTAAATGAGAAAGAGTTCGTAAAATAACTAAAGTTGAAGATGGAAAGGTAAAAATCAATTCTTTTGATTTTATCTCTAATTGTTATCTACAGATAAATATAACAAATGTTATGCTATGACTCACCAGTGATTTTGTACACTTCTCTCATTGTTGTAGATACTTCGACTGTGTTGATATATGTAAAGTCCGTTCAGACTGGAATGAAATTCGACTTCAAGGAATTCTTCCCCCACATGCTGATAAGGACAGTATGGCTGTAACAGTAATGACAGTATTAGAGGCTACTGAAGTGGAGTTCAGTCTTTTTCAAGAAGGCCAAAGGTAATATGTTAAATCAATTTACAGTGTGTTTGAAGGAAATATTTATATATTTCTAATTAATAATATTCTTTGACCTTAAAATTATTTTATAAACAGAAGTGCAGAAAGATCTCAACGCTCCCAACTGGACTTGTGTGTTGTAGTGTTTAGAGCGGCCGATCCTGCCCGAGGCCAAGTTGGTGCTTTAATAAAACACAGCAAGAGGCAAGTCAGAGGATTTGTAGGGTGCCATGCGATGTTGGAACCTGGCCTTTATATTGTCGTGTGCCTAGCCTTTAACCACTGGCATACAAGTAAGAGTTATTTTCACTTCCTTACCTTCTAATGGTTATTCATCATTTACCCTTGAGTTAACATAAATTTGTAGGGTGCCATGCGATGTTGGAACCTGGCCTTTATATTGTCGTGTGCCTAGCCTTTAACCACTGGCATACAAGTAAGAGTTATTTTCACTTGCTTACCTTCTAATGGTTATTCATCATTTACCCTTGAGTTAACATAAATTTGTTTCTAAGAATGTTCTGGACTTTCTTATAACTTTAATTACTCCCACTTAATTCCATTCTTTTTACAGTACAAACCCTGACAGGTCAGTAAACTACAGTTACTTTTTACAGTACAAACCCTGACAGGTCAGTGAACTACAGTTACTTTTTACAGTACAAGCCCTGACAGGTCAGTAAACTACAGTTACTTTTTACAGTACAAACCCTGACAGGTCAGTAAACTACAGTTACTTTTTACAGTACAAACCCTGACAGGTCAGTAAACTACAGTTACTTTCACCATAAAAAGGCTTCCCACAAGAATCACTACTAAGCAAGAAAGTATCAAGCATGATTTTATTTGTCATTCATGTGGTACAATGTGGTACATTCATGTGGTACTATGTGGTACATTCATGTGGTACTATGTGGTACATTCATGTGGTACTATGTGGTACATTCATGTGGTACTATGTGGTACATTCATGTGGTACTACATGGTACATTCATGTGGTACTATGTGGTACGTTCATGTGGTACTACGTGGTACGTTCATGTGGTACTACGTGGTACGTTCATGTGGTACTATGTGGTACATTCATGTGGTACTATGTGGTACATTCATGTGGTACTATGTGGTACATTCATGTGGTACTATGTGGTACATTCATGTGGTACAATGTGGGTTTGTTAAGAAAAGAAACATAAACTTGGCAACACATCATGCTTTGGATGTTTCACATCTCTAAATATGCAAGAATGCTGGTCATAACAATGATCTATTGATGTCTTGCTACAGCTACATGTAGCATTGTATGTGGTACATCACTAGAGTGAACATCTTCTCACTACATACTACAGACTGATGTATTGCTACAGCTATATGTAGCATTGTATGTGGTACGTCACTAAATTGAACATTTTCTCAATACATACTACAGACTGATGTCTTGCTACAGCTACATGTAGCATTGTATGTTGTACG